GAAACCTGTAGAATGGGACAAAATATTTGCAAATCATGTGTCTGATAAGGAATTAATATCCAGAACATATAGAGATTATTTGCTCACCCACGTTCATTACCTCAATATTTACAACAGCAAAGAGGTGATGAATGTCCATTGACAGATGAATGTAGTATAAAGAAATAAAATGTAGCATATACATGAAATAGAATATTATTAAGCACCTGGGTGGCTCGGGAGGCTAAGTGTGCAGCTCTTGATTTCGGGTCAGGTCGTGATCTCAGGGTCCTGGGATGGAGCCCTGCGTCGGACTCTGTGCTCAGCAGGAATTCTACTTCAAGATTTCTGTCCCTCTCCCTCTGCCCCTCCCCTCCTTAAACAAATAAATAAATCTTCCAAAAAAAGGAATATTATTAAGCCTTTATAAAGAGGGTAATCCTGTCACATGCTACAATAGAGATGAACCTTGAAGACGTTATGCTAAATGAAATAAGCCAGTCACAAAAAGACCAATACTATATGACTCTACTCATATGAGATATCCAAAGTATTCAAATTCATAGAAACAGAAAGTAGAATGGTTCTTGCCAGGGGCTGGGGGAAAGGAGAAATAGGAAGTTGGTGTTCAATGGGTGTAGAGTTTCTGTTTTGCGTAATGAAAAAGTCCTAAAAATCTGTTAAACAACAATGTAAAGATACTTAAAAATGGTTAAGGTGGTAAATTACAAATGTTTGTGATTGTCCAAATACCCTAAGTGGTCTCACTGACTGGTTTTACAAGTAAATGTTATAATACAAATTTATAAAATAAATATTTAAAAAAGATAATTGACTATTTGGCTAAGTGTCTGACTCTTGATTTTCTCAGGTCATGATCTCAGGCGCCTGAGATTGAGCCCTGCAGTGGGCTCTGCACTCAGCGCAGAGTCTGCTAGGATTCTCTCTCCCTCTCCCCCTGCTACTCTCCCCACTCGCAGTCTCTCTCAAATTATTAAATACAATCTTTTAAAATAAAGATAATTGACTATTTAAACAATGTTAACAATTTTTACAGAGTTTACATCTAAAAGTAAAATATATGTCGACAATTATATAATGGCTGAGGGGAGAAATGGAAGTTTCTTGAACTATACATAAAGAGGTATATTATCTCTTGAAGGTAGTGCATGAAAAGTTAAAGACATATACTGTAAACACTAAAGTGACCACTAAAATAGCAAAACAAAGAACTATTGCTAACCTTCACGACAAAAGCACTCAACAGATTAGGAACAGAAGAGAACTTTTCAACCTGATAAATGACATCTATAAAAACCCAAAACCAACATCATACTTAGTGGTGAAAGACTGAATGCTTTCCATCTAAGATGATCAAGTCAAAACAAGGATGTCTGTTCTCACCACTTCTATTAAACGTTGCACTGGAGGTTCTAGCCAGAAAATAAAATAAAAGGCATCCAGATTGGAAAAGAAGTAAAAGTATCACTATTTGCAGATGACATGCTCTTGTATATAGAAAATCATAAGGAATTCACTGAAAAAACTATTAAGACTAATGAGTTCAGCAACACTCCAGAATATAAGATCAATATATAAGAAATCAATTATATTTCTAAAAGGACCAATAAGCAAACTGAAAATTAAGTGAAAGAACAATTTTATGTACAAAACTATCAAAAAGAATAAAATACTTTGGAATAAACTTAACAAAAGTGCAAAACTTTTGCTCTGAGAACTACACAACATTATTGAAAGAAATTAAAGAAGCACTAAATAAATGGAAAGACATCTTATGTTCATGGATCAAAACATTTATTTTTTTTTAAAGATTTTATTTATTTATTTGACAGAGAGAGACACAGCGAGAGAGGGAACACAAGCAGGGGGAGTAGGAGAGGGAGAAGCAGGCTTCCCGCGGAGCAGGGAGCCCGATGTGGGGCTCGATCCCAGGACCCTGGGATCATGACCTGAGCCGAAGGCAGACACTTAACGACTGAACCACCCAGGCGCCCCAAAACATTTATTGTTAAGATGATAACATTCTCCACATTGATCTACGGATTCAGTGCAATCTCTTTCAAAATTCCAGGTAACTTCTTTACAAAAATCAATAAGCTGATCCGAAAATTCATATGGAAATGCAAGGAACCCAGAAGAGCCAAAACAGTTTTAAAAAAGAAGAGAGTTGGAGGCCTCACACTTTCTGATTTCAAAATTTACTAGAAAACTGTTAATCAAGACATGTGGTACCGGCATAAGGATAGACATATAGATCAATGGAATAGAATTGAGAATCCAGAAATAAACCCTCACATTTATGGACCATTGAATTTTGACAGGGGTGTCAACACAATTCAGTGGAGGAAAAAACAGTCTTTTTAACAAATGGTGCTGGGAAAACTGGATATCCACATGCAAAAGAATAAAGTTAGATTCATATATCACACTGTAATGGAATACAAAAATTAACTCAAAATGGTCAAAGACTTAAATGTAAGAGCTAAAACTATAAAACTTTTAGAAGAAAGCATATGGGGGGAAAATCTTCATGATATTGGATTTGGCAGTGGTTTTTGGATGTGACACCAAAAGCAAAAGCATTAAATGGAAAAACAGATAAATGAGACTACATCAAAATTAAAACTTATTGAAATCAAAGGACATTATCAATAAAATGAAAAGGCAGCCCATGGAATAGGAGAAAATATTTATGTCATACATCTGATAAGACATTAATACTCAAAATATATAAAGAACTCCTACAACTCAACAACAAATAATCCAACAAGCAATATACTTAAATAGACATCTCTTCAAAGAAGATATACAGATATCCTATAAGCATATGAAAAGATGTTCAACATCACAGTCATTGGAGAAATGCAAATCAAAACCACAAAGAGATACCACTTCATACGAGGATAGTTGGTTATTATTATTATTTTAAAAAAAGGAAAGTAACAAGTGTTGGTAGGGACGTAGAGAAACTGGAACCCTTGTACATTGCTGTTGGGAATGTAAAATGGTGTAAACACTTGAAAAAGTTTGATGGTTCCTTTAAAAGTTAAACATGGAATTGCCATATGATCCAGCAATTCCATTTTTAGATATGTACTCAAAAGAATTGAAAGCGGGAACTCAAATAGATGACTTGTATGTCAGTGCTCATTGTTGCATTATTGGAAACCGGCAAAGGTGGAAACAACTCAAACATCCATCAACAGATGAGTAAGAAAATGTGGTATGTCCACCCAATGGAATACTATTCAACTTTAAAAGAATGTAGTTCTTATATATGCTATGACATAGATGAACTTTAAAAACATTATGCTAAGTGTGGTGCCGGGGTGGCTCAGTCTGTTAGGCATCAACTCTTGGTTTCGGCTCAGGTCATGATCTCATGGGTTGTGGGATGGAGCTCCATGTCTAGCTCCATGCTCAGGGGGGAGTCAGCTTGAAAGATTCTCTCCCTCTGCCCCTCCCCCCACTCTCTCTCTCTTAAATAAATAATCTTAAAAAAATTATGCTAAGTGAAATAAGCCAGACACAAAAGGTAAAATACTATACGACTCCACTTATATGAGGTACCTAAAGTAGCCAAATTCATAGAGACAGGAACTAGAATAGAGGTTATCAGTGGTTAGGAGAGGGGGAAATTGGGAATTATTATTTAATGGGTACAGAGTTTCTATTTGGGATAATGAAAAACTTCTAGAAATGGAGAGTGGTAATGGCTGTATGACACTATGAGTATACTTAATGCTATTGAACTGTATGCTTAAAAAAGGTTAAATTTTATGTGTATTTTACCACAATAAAAATAAAACAGACCCTCAAATTCCCCACTCTGAGCAGCTAGACGGCTGATAATGGAAGGAAAACTAAATCCTTACCTTTCAAAGTAGGAAATCAACATATGATACCTAAGATTGAAAACATAACACATCAAAATAAACATTTTGCTATACGGTCATAAATACTAAATTATCAGGCAAGAGGCGTGAAAGAGGTTGCTTCTGCCATGAAATGGAGGCAGATGGGGTCCCCCCTATTTGGTTACAAGTTTGTAGAACTATAACTCCGTAGAATAATGCACTTAGCCTTTATAAAATTAACAACACGCCACAATTTACTTGTTAATGACTGCAAAAACAAACAAGAGCAACCTCCTGCTCCAAATAAAGCTCTAGATTTCCCCACTTGCTACTCAAATCAAACTTTTCTGAATTTGATTTTCTCATCTGTAAAATTAGTTATTAGATATAGATTGAAACAGATCATGAATACAAAAGTGCCTGAAAACAAGAGTTGTTTAAAAACAGCTTGATCGGGGATACCTGGGTGGCTCAGTCGTTAAGCGTCTGCTTTCAGCTCTGGTCGTGATCCCAGAGTTCTGGGATCGAGTCCCTTATCAGGCTCCCTGCTGCTTCTCCCTCTGCCTGCTGCTCCCCCTGCTTACACTTTCTCTCTCTCTCTCTCTCTCTCTCTGACAATCTTAAAAAAACCTTGATCCAAAAGTTTGGGATCCTCAGCATTCACTTATTAGATCACGTTGTGTGTAGCAGGGAGTGGGACAGGAGGAGCACAACGCTGTGTGGAACTAGCGACCTTACCTTGAACTCACCTGTCTAGTACCTGCTCCCACCCCTACCTGTACCAGGTGGTGATCTATTCTTGGGCCATGTGACTTTGGACAATTTCCGTAGCTTTTCTGAATCTCGCTTTCCCTACCTGGGAATAGCAAAGCTACTCCTGCGCCGTTGGAGTAAGAAACGACCTTGAGATTGGGCTGTTTTGGCCTGGGGAGGGGGGGCAATGGAAGGGGGAAGGGGGTGATCGCAGCTCCCTACCTTCAGCTCCATCCCGGGCGCGCGGGACCCCTGGGGCCTGGGAGCCGCAAGCTGCGAGCGCCTGGGGAAACGAGGATCCGCAGTCACTATGGCAACCGGCGACGCCGGGCGTTCCCAGGCAGCAGGCGGCGGAGCTGAGAAGGTCAGCGGGCCTCCGGCTGCGAAGAAGACCCCCGCGGCATGAGGGGGGAAGAAGCGGTGGTGGTGAGCGCGGTGGCAGCGCCGGAGGCGGGCTGCGACCGGGAGCAGGCTCAGCCGCCGGCCGGGCTGGGGTGCGGGGCGCGCGGGGAGCCCGGCGGCGGCGGCGGCCCCCAGGAGTCTTGCAAACAGTGTGAGTTCCCCTCCGGTCGCGCAGAGTGCGCGCAGGGACGTGGGGCGTGTCGAACGCGTGGAAGGGGAAGCGGGGGAACCGGAGTGAGACTCGCTGAAGGTGTTGGAGGGTCGGGGCAGAGCTGCAGTTTTGGCAAAGGCAGAGGTGATGGTGGCGCTGTGGCAGAAAGCATCCGGTGCATTTCCCCAAAGCCTCCTTCACCAAAGGCTGCCTGAGCCCAGGTAGCCTCCAACCTGACAGGTAGTGGCATTGACCTGGAAGGTATTGGAAAAAAAAAAAAAGTGTGTGTGTATGTGTGCGTGTAATAAGAAAAATCTAATATATAAATTTGAATTTATATATAATAAAATATAAAATGTATAAAGATTTATAATATGCATAAATATATAAATTATATACACACACAGAGAGAAACATGTGGCTCATTTTTGCCAATTCCTTCATTTTACAGACCAGGAAACTGAGGTCTAGACTAGAGGAAATGAAGTGACTTGCTCACAGTGACTCAGTCAATGCCAGAGAAGTACTTAAAACGCTTAACCTCACCTGTCTTGGACTTTCAGTTCAACAGTTATTACTACCTGATACTTTTAGAATCTCACAATGACGGGCCACATTTTAACACAAGGGTTTCCTTCCTTGCCCTGCCAAACACACAAACAATATTCAAGTGAGTAAAGGCGGTTCTGGTCCAGAGTCACAACCAACATGGCTGCAGCTGGAGTCCGCTCCAGGCCTCCGCGCTCATCCATATTGTTCCATGAATTTATATTTCACAGTCCCTTGTGCTCTACACGCTTTCAGGAAGTGCTAAGGAATGATGATGGGGAAAATAATAGGTCAATGAGGAATGCCCGCAGTTTCTGGCCCTTCTGCATCGCCTCCTTGATTGCCTCTCTAGAGACCAGCCTCAGGTCATGTAGCTCCGCAGACCCCAGGAGGGAGGGTGAGGCTGAAGCAGCTCAGCTCCCCTGCCTCAGGGGGCCACCCAGCCTGCTCCCAGGACTTCTCATTAAGGAGCTGCAGAACCAGTGTCTCCTAGAGAAAGGACCATTCCGCCATTCCTTTGATTATCAACAGCATGCAGAGGCCTTACTCGGGGCAACTAAATCCAGTATATTTAAGTATTCGGTATATTTAAGTAAGTTCTTACTCTGACTTCGAATTCTGTCTGGGAATTTTCCCATTAAAGATGCTAGAAATGAAAGGTTCTTTTGTCCTCTGGAGTTCTGTAGGAGTAAAAGGTGGAATTAAATCATTCACCCACCCATTCAACAAATACTGAATCCTTACTGCATGCCAGGCATTGGGCAAGTTGTGGATAAGTGAGTGATGAATTAAGGCATGTGTCCAAACTTTGAGGACCTCAGAAAGTCAGGGTCAGGGCATAGAGCACTCTTGCTTCAGCCTCCCAGAGAACCTCATTTTAGGGCCTCAGCCTGAGTAGAGCCAGGCTATTCACACCCACATGAAGTACCCATTCGATTCTCAAATGTTTTCTGGGAAAGTCTTCTGTCTCTCTGTAGCTTCTACTCCCTAATAATAGATCTGATCTGAAATATACACAGATGAAATATGGGCCTTTCCTGGTAAAACATCCTTAAATTGTATGAAGGGGGCTATTTGAACAGCCACCAAATCTTTCATAGACTTCAGGCTCATCTTTAAAATACTTTGTAGCACTCTCCCCATGCTGGCTAACCTCTTCCCACATTCTCCAGTTTATTAAACCACTGAATCCCGTATTCTAGGTATGATCAGGTTAGGGTAACATGCTGGGACTATAACCTCCCTTGATCTGAACATTCTACTTCTATTAAATGGACCCAGAATCAATTAGCTGTTTTGGCAGGCACATTATATTATTAATAGATACAACAAATGCAGTCTATGACATCCTTAGTTTCTCTTTCCCCTGTTGTCCAATAGAAAACATTTGATCCAGGCTTTTTTTTTTAATTTATGCAGTTAATTTGTTTCATCCTAAATACAAGTCATTATATTTATCCCTATCAGTACCATTCTATGAATTTTAGCACTCCATTCCAGGTACAGAAGCAGCCCTTTGAGTCCTAAGTTTGCCATTCAGCAAGTTTGTGCCATTCTCACAATCGGTGAGTAGGCAGTTCCTCTCTATATCCAAATTAGCAAACTAGGTGGTACTTCCAGCAGTTCCAAGGAGAGTCTCTAGAAGTCCCTGACCTGTCATTCAGCATTTTTGGCGTGGGCGTTCTGCCTCCTACAAATACACTTTTATCAAATGTCTTGCTGAAAGCAGATGCATTGTGGCTATGACATCTTCCTAATCTAGCTAGGTTAGTAACTTGGGTTTGGGAGAGTCAGGTGGCATGGCTTTTAATTTTTATGACTAGTTTTGTGATTTCTGAGAGTTACTTTCTCAACTATAAAATAGGAATAATTATACCTGCCCATAGAGTGATTTTGAAAAAGAGAAATAATATATGTAAGATGCTAATAACATATGTATGGTAGCATTCAATAAATTACAGCAATTGTTATTAGCTCTTAACAAAAGAAAGCAGTTTAGTCTGGAATAATATTGTTCTTAGTAGTCCTTAACACTTAGTGATCACTGTTCCTCATTATCTGTACTCACAAGCCATCTGTTGGCTAACTCAAATGTGGTGAAGATCAACATCAAGCTGCTATGTTAGAGTTTGTAGAATTTTTTTTTCCTTCTTTCCTTCTCTCCTTCCTACTTCTCTCCTCCCTCACTCCCTCCCTCCCTCCCTCCCTCCCTCCCTCCCTTCCTTCCTTCTTTCCTTCCTTCCTTCCTTCCTGGAGCGGGGAATATTTGTCTATACTAAGCTCTTTGCTACTCTAATTTTTCACAGTTCCTCAAAACCTTTAGTGATTTCCTCTGTAAATTCTTATAACAGCAGGGCTGAAATTCGTCAAGAGACTTGAACTTAGAGGAGATGATCTCTTCTGTTCTACTGAACTGTTACAGGATTTTCTTCCTTCTTAACCATGTTTCTTAAACCCTTTTCTGCCTTAGGATCATGATCTAGCCAAACAAGTTTAAACCAAAGTTAAGCTTGAGTAAAGCTAACCCCCACCTTGCGTTCATATGACTCCTAACTTCTGGGAAACAAAAATGAGATGCAGAAAGTATCTAATTCTACCTTGTTTGTGTCTGAAGGTGTGTTTGAGTCTTCCTGACCAGGAGTGACCCAGGACCACAGCAGTGGTCTCTTACCCCATTTGGGCTGGTTAGTACACAAGTCAAATCTCTTCACTTGGTTCTTTATTGGTTAGTCTGGGAAAGATGAGGCACCTGCCATTGTGAGTTTAAAGTCACATCTTAAATAGCTAAAGTATTGGGTTGATTAGGTTTTCCATGGTTCCTTGCATTGAGCTTTTGAGTATTAAGACTAGAACCACTGGTTCCCTGACATTCACAAAGCTGCATTGACATTCATCTACAAGAATAGTCTTTGAGCTCCATCTAATTTAACAATGCTGAGTTCTACTTGGACACACATTTGGTCTATTATTACACCAGTTCTGCTCTAAGCCTCTGATGAACTGAACAGAAAACATCCCTGCCCAATGGTATTTATGGTCTGATAAGGAAGACCTATATTCAACTAATAATTACGTAAATAATGGCATATAAAGCAAATGAGGCCATATATAAATTGCAGTAAATGAAATGAAGGAAAAGAGAAGAGTCCGATGCTAAAAAAGTATCCAGGAACATTTGAGGATTGTAGAGTCAGGGAAAGCTTCCCCAGGGCACCAACCTTTAAGCTTAGGATTGAAATTCGAGTAGAAGTTATGCAGGCAAAAATACTAGGAGAAAGGCAGTTCAGGCACAAAATAGAATGTACATAGGCTTTGATGTGGGAATGAACAGAAGGGCCACAAGGAAGCCCAGAAAGCAAGAGAGAGGGGCTGACAGGACAAACGGGGGTGACAGTGTCAGGAAGCACAGAGCTCTGGGGGGTGAGCGGAAGAAATAATGCTAAGGTACTTAGAACAAATAAGCCAATCCTCCACAGTAGCAGTGATGTCCTATAGTGCCAGGCTTAGAGACCAGGAAAAAAGTCATGTGTCCATAAGTGATTCACTACAACAATTCACGTTTACCTCTCAAAATGATAACTAAATAAGGCTGAGGTGTTCTGTGGTTTGTAGCTGTAGCTGTAGTAGGCTCCATGGGCACATCTGTCTTTTTCATTGCTTGTCCTCTGTCCCTAGTCCAGCGCCTGGCACCGAGTAGGTCCTTAATAAGGATTTATCGAATAAATGAGTTTTCTTGAAGCAAATGAAGGAAACTCCATATATTTCTTCCTAACACTTAAAACAGGTATCTGAAACTTACCACAAAAGTTCAGGAATTATGTGAAAGTGTAAAGTCCCAAAAGAACCAAAAAGGGATCTTTCCAAAAGAGGGTCAATCATCTGCTGTTTGTATGGAGGGATGTGTCTTCTTAAGAAATAGTTATTCATGTAGGCATAATGGCTAGAAAGTTTGGCATAATTTATGATAGATAATCAATTTTATTAATGTCTTTATAGGGAAGAAATTCTTGTATTCTGAGCCACATAAGAGAATTAAGGAAGTACTAGAAGAAGAACTTTCTATTAAAAGAGATGAGTGCCGCATTAAAAATCCACCTGCAGGTAATCTCCATGACAAATGAAGTATATTTCTGCAATGAATATGAAATTACCTATTTAATGGTAGAATGATTATTTTCTTTATTACAAAACCATGACTATCAAAAGAAAAATGGATACTTGGGAAATTCTTCAGCTAATTTTATAATTATTTTGCCTGTGTCCAAATAAGCTTATATTTACAAAAAGTAGCTAGGTATCAGTATCTACATTGCTATCCCGCATTTTTGGTGGAGTTATTTCTATTCAATAAGAAGTCGAATTTTTTCCAAGAAAAGCACAATAATATCTTCAATCTTTATCAATATAGGTGTGACCAGTAACAGTGGTTCCCAAAATTTAGATTTCATCAGAATTACCCGGGAACCTGTTAAAAGCAGATTGCTGGAAACCATCCCTAGAGTCACTGGCTCAGTAGTTCTTGGGTGGGGGGTCGGCAATTTGCATTTCTACCAAGTTCCCAGTTGGTGTTGAGGCTGGTGGTCCAGGGACCCAAACTGAAGATCACTGACCCTGAAGAATCGAAGTCATTTAAATAGGTTAAATCATCCAAGGATTTTATTGTATTTACATGTAGTTTATGGGTTAAATGTCTAGGCATTGATAGTTCATTTGAGAAAAGATACGCTCTAGAAGCCCAGAATCCCTCACAGATTTTTTTTTTCCATGCCCAGCATGGAGCCCAGCACGGAGCCCAGCACGGGGCTTGAACTCACAACCCTGAGACCAAGACCCAAGCTGAAGTCAAGAGTCAGATGCTTAACCTACTGAGCCGCCCAGGCACCACCCCCCCAACAGATGTTATTTTGAAACTACTAGAGCCCCTCATTTTCCTGATTCCTTCTCAATGATTACAAGGCACACATTTCACACTTTTCAAATCATCAGGTTTTTATTGCAAACCTCTTGGGCACCAGCATTTCTAGAAGAAAGAAAAGAACTGTAACACGTGACTTCTGCACTCAAGAGAACTTGACATTTTCTACAGAGGAGGAGCACTGTTGAATACTCAGCAGCTAGGGCTCAAATTCTCTAAGGATTCCTGAGAGCAGATGCTGCAGGCCTAGAAGTGCATTTTTTCTTTTCCCGACTCTGACAGATTTGCCCACTTTCCACTGCAAAACCAGCCATGCAAACGCACGTTAGGCCTTCTGTATTCCCCATTCTTACAAAAGGAGAAACCAGCAAAATGGCCAATTTTATTCAGACTATGTCTGGAAAGAAAATATAGAGTTTATTTTGAACTCTGTGAACAGATGCAGAATGACCTACTGAATTGTGTCTCCGAACCCCAGCCTATACATACTATTCCCCTAGTGGTTGGAAAAATTTTTAAGTCTTATACTATTCTATTCTGGGCTTATTTTCATTTATACACTTAAAAATTTATAATTTATATACCAATTAGATGATGTATTATTCTTATTGGATACGTTTGGTTGTTAGACAATCTAAGTGATTATAAAAATTCATTTTTCTAAGCAATCTTTTCAAATGTCCTTCGTATAAAATGGAAATGCTTGGCCTGCATTTTCATAATATCCACCAGAGGTCGCACAGAGGTGCTCTTTTAGTCTAGAAAATCCTTTAAAGCTGAGAGTAGATTCTGTAAGTTTAAGTTTTAAAGGGGCTTTACTTATGGGGGAAAAAGCTGCTAGTTTTTTTTTCTTTTTCTGTTCTTAAAAAATAATTTAAAAGGCTGAACGCCCCGTGTCCTTGGCCACAACAGGGAGCTAGCACCTAGAGGGGGTGCCACGCCTCCTGCTTACTCTCAGGGCGTTGGCAGCTCTGGGCCAGCCACTGAATTCTCTATTGCAGGATTTTTGGTGACATACTCCTTTAGATATATCATGGGAGCTGGGGCTTCTCTTTCTGGAGAACACAGCTTGCCACAGACACGCAGAATTCTGCATAAAACTTTTAGGGACTTGTATGGCTCCAATGGCAGCTCTTCCGGGATGTTAAGCTTAAGTACACTAGCCCATTGTCTCCACTTCACTTCTTGTTTACTCCCCCACCCATTGCAAATAGGCTTTGGTTTCCATGAGCCCAGGCAAACTGTTCTTTTCCAGATGGTGAATGACCTTCCTCTTGAAAGTCAAATCTAATGATTTTGAAAGTCTAATACAATCCAGAAACTCATCAAACTCAACTTCTCTGTAGCATCTGACATAATTATTTACTCCTTCCCTTTGAAAACACTTTGTCCACTGAGCCTCCAGGTCAGCATGCTCCAGTCTCCTGGTTTTGCTGGTGCGACTCCCTGTTGTCTTTGCTGGCTCCCCCTTCTCCTCACCTCTAAACTTTGGGGAGCTCAGTCACAGGCTCTTCTCTCCATCTGTATTCACTCCCTGAGTGATCACATCTAGCCCTGTGTGCTGATGACTCCAAAGTTTATATCCCTAGCCTCTGCTTTCCCCCTCAAATCTCAAAAGCCTACTTAACTTCCCACCTGGATGTCTACTAGGCCTCTCACACTGTACATGTCCAGAACAGAACTCTTATTCTATACGGCTCTTCAACAGCTCTTCCCCATCTCAGGAAATGACATCACTATTCACTATGCCAAACACCTAAAAGCCAAATCTTCAAACTTCATGTCCAGTCCCTCCGCTAATCCTGTCAAATCTGCGTTGGAAATACATCCTAAATCTCCCCAACTGCAGCCTTGTCCAAGCCCCCATCATCTCTTTCGAGCTCAGCAGTAGCATCCTCTAGCACCTTCTACTGCTCTCCCCACAGTCCATTTTTCTGCACAGAACCCAAAGGGGTCTCTTACAACATAAGTCATTGTATACCACCTCCATGTTCAAAGCCCTCCGATGGCTCTTTGTGATTCTTAGTCTAGATTTCAGTCCCCTTGTATGGTCTGCTCACCTTTCTGAACTCAGTTCCTGTACTTTCCCACCCCACTTTAGCCATACGGGTTTCCTTAATGTTCTGGAACATGCCAAACCCATTTTCACCTCAGAACCTTTCTACTTCCCCTAGATCATCAAATGTCTTTCTCCCTCTTCCTTCAAGTTTCAGCTCAAATGTCATCTTCTCAGAAGTAACCTCTCTACCAGATTAAAGTAGAAACTACCTACTCTCCCAATTACTCTCTAATCTTTTATACCACTTTCTTCTTTCTGCCTTTTTTTAATCCCTACTTCGAAATTATATATTTGTCTGTATACTTCTTTATTGACTGTCTGTCTCACAAGAACTTAAGCTGCATGAGGACAGGGGCTTTATTTTGCTTACGATGAATCCTCATGAAAGCCATGTGATATAGGTATTATGATTCCCATTTTACGGATGAGTAAACTGAGATTTTGAGAGGTTTCTACTGTCCAAGGTTATGCGTTAAGTAAGTGGCAAAACCAGATTCCAAACTCAGGTCTTATCCCAAATCCCATTGGCATTCTGTGCACTGTAGTGTCTCCAGTGACATATTATGACCAAGTCCCGTGGGTCCTGGTCTGCCTTGGCTGGCTTGAGGTTTCTGCCCTACTTGACATAATTGATGGTTCTCTCCTTAAACTTTTTTTTTCCCTCAAATTCCTTGACACTAAATATCCTTGTTCTCTTCTTTGGATATTCCTTTTCATCCTCCATTGAAAACTTCTTTTCGGGGCGCCTGGGTGGCTCAGTTGGTTAAACGACGACCGCCTTCGGCTCAGGTCATGATCCTGGAGTCCTGGGATCGAGTCCCGCATCGGGCTCCCTGCTCAGCGGGGAGTCTGCTTCTCCCTCTGACCCTCTTCCCTCTCGTGCTTTCTCTCTCTCAAATAAATAAATAAAATCTTTAAAAAAGAAAAAAAAGAAAACTTCTTTTCACTCACCTTCATCCCCAAATATTGATGCCTACCAGGGTGTTAACCACAGTCTTCTAATCTTGTTCCGTTGGCTGTCCCTGGATCATCTCAGCTGTTCGCATTGTTTCTACCACTACCTCACTGTGATGTGTCTGTTTCTGAAGTCTGTGTGTCCAGGCTCAATTTCTCTTACTGGATGTCCTACAAGTATTCAAGATCAACGTGTCCAAAATAAAACTCATACCTCTCCTTGACTTACTCCTTCCTATATATCACCCATCCAAATGCATGACATGGCATAATGGCCAAGGCCAAAACCACAGCGCCATCCTTCATACCCACTCCAGATTACCATGTCTTGCATTTAATGAGGCTCTCGGGGCTATCCTAGTTTGGCTCAGGGTCCCAAACGGTTGACCCCTATGCCAGGTTCATCTTGCAAACATATAGACAAATTTATTTGTTCTGAATTGTATTTTTTAAATATATGAATCAGTTGTCAACATTTAATAAATTAGGACTTTTTTTTTTAAAGATTTTATTTATTTATTTGAGAGAGAGAGAATGAGAGATAGAGAGCATGAGAGGGAAGAGGGTCAGAGGGAGAAGCAGACTCCCTGCTGAGCAGGGAGCCCGATGTGGGACTCGATCCTGGGACTCCAGGATCATGACCTGAGCCGAAGGCAGTCGCTTAACCAACTGAGCCACCCAGGCGCCCAATAAATTAGGACTTTTTACATACGAATCTAGATTCCTAGATTATCTGGGGTGAAGAGGGAGGGGAGGAGGAGAAAGAACGATGTGACAGCCAGGTGGACATTCACACGTGGCACAGTGCCTGGAGTTGGCTTACGCTGCCCTAGCTGGCCTGCCCACGCCGTTACCCATCCCCTTAAAGGTCCCCAGCCAGGTGGGGCATATCACAAACTATTCATGTTCACACCTCCACCGCAGACTTCCTCCTCTCATGGTGGGAAGAGGAAAGAATGTGTTTCTCTGGTATCCGTCTCCAACAAAAGTGGAAAAAGATAAAAGAAGTAGGAGAGCCAATTACTTCTTAGCCCTGGCCTGCTTTACTTCCTTATATTACCTGCCTGGCTTTTCTCTCCATATATTGATTTTGTGACTCTAGATAAACAATATATACTATTTCTTCGATATACCCGTCTATCTGAATTCTAGGGACCCCAAGGTATAGGCATGTGTCCAAGCATATTTGTACAGCAATGTATGCATTGACTGGATTTGTTTGAATTTTTATTTTTTTATTTTTTATTTTTTTTATTTTTTAAGATTTTATTTATTTATTCATGAGAGACAGAGGGAGAGAGAGAGAAGCAGAGGGAGAAGCAGGCTCCCAAGGAGCAGGGAGCCCGATGCGGGACTCGATCCCAGGACCCCGGGATCATGACCTGAGCCGAAGGCAGACGCTTAACCATCTGAGCCACCCAGGCGGCCTTGTTTGAATTTTTAAACTATCAAGTCCACATTCTCTCACAACAATCTGATGATGACAGTGAGATTTCAGTAAGTGTCCAGACTGGGTTTTCCCTCAACCATTGATAAAGCACCAAAATACTGGCCCCGTCCATAGCAAAGTGTGGGCAAACTTACCGAAGAGCTTATATCATCTATTAGGAGGGGGAATGTGCCTGAAGTCAAGCAACTGAAATCATAGCATGTTTTCTTTGTGACTGAGCTAATGAGGACAATCGTGGAAGTGCCCAGAAGCAGTTCTTTCTGTGCTTTTCCCCTTTTCCTTTGGCTGAATGAAAGTGGTATAAGATCAAAGTTTTCTTTTTCTTGGGTTGAATGAAATAAGTAAAAAGTCTGAGATTCATTAATTAGCTTTTATGGATGTTTAACAGAGCAAACATAACATTTCTTCTGGGATATTTTTGTTTGGGGGGGCAAACGGAGACTCAGGCAGAAGGTCTGTTGGTCTTCTGGGACCTTCAGCTAAATGAGCTATGCTACCTGTTCTTGTGGTTGTGTTGTGACAACGGTTAATAAGAGCTGTGAAGATATTGACATGGCCGAGGTGTTCTGAGTGGTTGTTACCCGATCCTTGGGTCTAGGGAATGGCATCAGTGGCCACAGGAAAAATGGGCTGCCAGGCCACTAAGCCGTCTCCTCTAGGATTTGGATTCCTTCCCGGCTCCTGATAGAGAGATAGATGGGCTCAGTGAGAAGCACTGGAGGCTGGGGTGAGGGGTAGGGGTGGGTAGGTGGAGGGTGTCTCTCTCTATGTATTACACAATGATGGTAATAATAATAAGTATCATTAATACTTAATACTACTATTATTAATTTTTTACAGGGTTTACAAACTATCTCTTTCAGTCCTTGCAATGACCCTGCGCTCTTAAAATTCCCATTTTGCAGATCTGGACGCTGAGGTTCAGGGAGTACGGTGACTTGCCCTTTGTCGCACAGCGCAATAGGCTTGCCAGAAGCTGACCTCCTTGCTCTTAGCCATTGGGCTATACAGTCTCTTTTGAAACATAAGCTTATGTTTTCTGGGAGGAAAAAAGATTTGAAATTATATTGGGAGCAAATAGTATTCTCTTTAGTAAAAGAAAGTTTGTCACAATCTTTTCCAGGTTCTGCCTCAGTTTAGCTTCGAACTGGAGGTAGAACAGCCTTCAGAGGCTTGACACACTCTTATCAGATAAGGACAGGGTCTGGGAACTGCTCAAAAAGGTTCTCCTCATCCCGACAAATGCCATTTTCTGACCAAATCTTCCGTCAGATGAGAATGGGATTTGGGGCCACTTATGGAACTTTCTGGATAAGGAAGAATTTAGCTAACATCATCATTCACATATTCTTAGTGATTCCCTGAAGATTTTCCCCTCCTTACAACTTTTTAAAAAAAGAGGTAAACTTGTGAGACATGCATTATCAGACTGTGGCTTTCATTTTACCATTTACCTTAAAATTATTTCTACATTTCTAAGAGCTTTTAGAGAGGACTTTGTGGAAATTATGTTTTAATTTAATGTTTTCAAATTGCAAGGGCTTTTATATTTTTCTGGCTGAAACCTGCAGAAGTCATAAAAATTGTGATTAATAAAATGTACTAGTTTTCTCTTACACAACATCACCTCTTTCAATGAATTTCAAGTGTCAAATCCATGACTTTGTGTCTATATGTCCCTGAATTCATAAAAACTTTATTTTGAACCTGGTTTATTTATTACATTTAGTACCAATTTAGAAAATGTAAAACATCACTCAGCAAGTGTGGATATGTTTGTTATTCATTAATTCATTCAACAAAAATATTTGGTGTACCTACAATATAAAAGGAATTTACTAGACACCAAAGGCATGTCAAGATAATTACAGAACGTAGAAGTCACCAAAGATAAATTTAAATGACTTAAATTTTTCTTCCTGTGGTCAAATCTCTGACCATGTTTGCACAAAGGAAACACAGATGATGTAGCTCTAAATTGGCTTCTCAGGCTCTAATGTTCATTACTCAGAATCAGAGACAGCTGAAAACAACAAAAATATTTTTGAAGGGTGATCTTACTTTCCCTGAAAGACCAGGCCAGGTCCCTCTGGCTAAAATTTCTAGCATAAGGGACACCTGGGTGGCTCAGTCGTTAAGAGTTTGCCTTCAGCTCAGGTCATGATCCCAGAGTCCTGGGATCAAGCCCCACATTGGGCTCTCTGCTCCGCAGGAAGCCTGCTTCTCCCTCTCCCACTCCCTCTGCTTGTGTTCCCTCTCTTGCTGTGTCTCTCTGTCAAATAAATAAAATCTTAAAAAAAAAAATGTCTAGCCTAAAATCATGGTTTAGTAACTTTACATTTCAGGCTAAAAACACACCTAGAAAAGTCCCTGAGTAGAAGGGGTTGGGGGCAGAGAAGGGAAGAGAGAAGACTCTCGGGAAGATTCTGAGTTTCCAGAGGGGATTTAATTCCCTTCTCTTAGCTTTATTCTTGTCCTGCCGCCCTTTCCTTTGCAGGTTGTACGCCAACACGGTGGCCTCCCTGGCTCTTCCACAGCCCCCCCCCCGTCTTCCTTCCTCCTGGAATGCGCATGCCCAGAGCAGAGGGCGTTGGCTTCCTCTCTAAAGAAGGTGCTTCAAAGGACATCTGTGCTTTCCAGACCTCTTTTTCCCCAGTTGAACATATCACCTTCTGTAACTTCTTCACCCAAACATATCAAATCAAAGTAGCGCTGTTTTTTTCCAGCAACCTCTATTCCTGAGTACAGTAAATACTTATACATAACTATATTTTGCTTTTATTTTTCTCATGCATTTCTGAGCATCTGCATTTACATTTGAGGTATTTTCCCTATTAAGTTGTAAACTTCCAGATATTCCTGGATTCCAGATTGCATCTGAAAGAGCACAACTTGATTAGATTAGTATAATTTTTCTATCTAATTTAATGTGGTTTTTCTACATAGTTCTGCCTCCTGATGTCAAAATGTTTTCCATTTGTCAGAACTTCTCTCAATGTGGAACAAATCTAAATCCATTTCCTTGGTTTCTTACTGGGTGTTGTACACGGGAGGCATTTAATACATATCGGTGGACTCCTAAATCAGAGAGTCTATTATCCAGGGGCTGGAGAGCAGCTCTTTACTGTCTCTAGAGAGGATAGAAGAAGAGGAAACTGGCTGGAAGGGTGGGGAAAGATTTGGGTTAGATATAAGGAACAGCTTAAAGTTTGTAAGGTCTTGACAGAAGGAGATTGTGGAGTCTTCCCCGAAGGTCTTTGAAGGAGGGGGAAGAAACGAACTTTGCCAGATACCTTCAGCTAACTCTATTCAGGAGTGGGGAGGAAGAGGCAAATATCGACATTCCGCTTGGTGAGTCAGCTCATTGATTCTGCTTCCAGAAACAGAATCTGAGTCCATGCTTGGACGGGAAAATCATTGTCCCTGTAAAAATAATAGTTACCATTTATTGAATGCAAAGCACTTTAAATCCATTTCATCCAGATCCTATAATAATTCTTCAAGCTAGGTATTATCCCCATTTCAAAGCTGAGGAAACGGAGACATGGTGGGTTCAATAACTTGCTCAAAGCCATACAACTGGCAGGTGGTGAAGCAAAGACAAACCCAGATCCCCTCTGACCCCAGACACGGTGCCCCTAATCACTACACGGTACAGAAGCCTTTGGGGAGGAATCAGATGTTAGTGTGGATACCAGTAGGCGGCCTTGGATCTGTGGAGAATATTTGGGCATAATTTGCGGCTTCAGAAATGGTAAAAACAATGTATTTAACCTGAATAACCTTATTTGACTTGGGTCACAGTTTTCTACATGACAGATTTTCCCAAAAAGCTTGTTGACTGACTCTCAAGAGCTAAATAAGTGCTTTTAGGATATGGAGAACAATCCAGTGCAAATAAAATCACTAAAACAATACTTACTGAATGGTATCAGGATTTAAGACTACGATTCGCTTTGTATCAATGCATAGACATTGCATCCCAAGTATTTGTCTATGGTGTTTTCCAGTGAGCTTGTTTTCATTCAAGGCGCAGTTAAATAGCATCTAGTTCAGTCTTTTAGGTGATTGCTGAATGTATATGATGAATTAATATGGTAACTTTTGGTTATATTTTCTTTGGAAATATTTGTATTTCGAGGAATTAGAATCAGATAGGGCTGGCCGCATGAAGTGTCTATATTAACTAATTTATTTCTGATCCTTTTGTGTTTTGTTATATATTTTTCTATACTGACTTTTCATCTATGTCTTCAGGGGCCAGCTAAATGATCTAATAGCACTGTAGAGGTTTAACTGCCTATGGAATAATTGAATGAATGAACTGAAATAAAAGATTAAACAAATGCTAAAGACCTTGGTTGGTTTGATTAATCAAACAAAATCAACTTCCACCCAAATGACTGAAAAAATAATCACCCAGTAAATACTTCTAAAAGATGTTGTGCTGAAAAGGAACTCAGCTAGTAATTGTCATCTTGCTTCTGAAAATATTGACAGTGGCCCTGGAAGGGATTTGGAGCATTAAAAGGAATCTCCCCGTGGGAGGCTTAAAACTGGGACTGCCAAGCGGAAACAGTTTGCTGCCACAAGCCAAGTACTATTCGAGGCATGGAGGGCTGAGAAGTAAGATCCTAATACTCCTTTTTTTTTTTTTTTTATTATTATAAAAGTTTATTTAACAAAAAAGTTCAATATGAAAATGCACACGACCTGATTTTTATATTGTAGTAAAACAGGTACTATGGAGGGGACATGTGGAAGCAGTTGATTCCTTCTGATGAACACACCCATTGTTTATACTCGCTCCAAGGCTTCTAACATGATGATACTATTTCCTCATATTACCACCATTCCAATATTGTTCTGTTGCCCACTAGTTGCCATCTCCACACATTCATCTATCACAAGATTCATAAACGGATCGAACCCCCGCAATATTCCTTGGACATGTCTGCCACCATTTAATTTCAATGACAATTTCTTGTCCATAAATTTTTTCAACTCGGGAGGGTGAGCTTTGCTCATGGTGTCTACTGCGCGAGCTCAAAGATGTCTCCAAATGGAATTCGTGGCATCCCACACCAAGATCCTAATACTCTTGACTTCTACTGAAAGCCCCGAGTGTGCCGATTAGCTCACAGCCCAGTGGTGTATGCTTTATTTCAAGTTCTCAATGCAATCTCCTTTTTTTTTTTTTTAAGATTTTATTTATTTGAGGGGCACCTGGGTGGCTCAGTTGGTTAAGCGACTGCCTTCAGCTCAGGTCATGATCCTGGAGTCCGAGGATCGAGTCCCGCATTGGGCTCCCTGCTCAGCAGGGAGTCTGCTTCTCCCTCTGACCCTCCCCCCTCTCATGTGCTCTCTCTCTCTCTCTCTCATTCTCTCTCTCAAATAAATAAACAAAATCTTTTAAAAAAATCTAAAAAAAAGATTTTATTTATTTGAGAAAGAGAGAGAGCACAGAGGGAGAGGGCGAAGCAGACTCCCCACTGAGCGGAGAGCTGGACATGGGGCTTGATCCCAGGACCCTGGGATCATGACCTGAGCCAAAGGCAGATGCTTAACCGAGTGAGCCACCCAAGCGTCCCGAGATGCAATCTTTTGATTTGCTTCTCCCAAGTTGCTTTTAGCTTTGCCACATTACCTCATTATAGAACTCAAAGAGTTTACAGTTCAGCTGAGCAAATTCCCCCCTGGATACAAGAGAAGGTCATACTCTTGAGTTACCCTCCGGACTCTGTACTTCTTATGCAGGAAGCCTTCCTGGCACACAGCCAGCTGGGGTGGGTAGGAATCTTGCACTGTCCCTTTTTTTCAGGTCTTTGCTTACTGGTGGAAATGAGGAAAGGGAGACAAGGGAATTAAGGAAGAGTCAGGCAACTACTTTGCCGGGCTCCCCGAGTTTCTCCCTAGTTGAGGTAAAAGGCCACCCAGCTGGGTCCAGTGCACTGTTCCTCAGAGACGTAAAGGTTGGAACAAAATATTACTCATTCCTCACTGTCATAACCAGTGTCTGCCGGGAAATTGGTGGCAGGATGTGGAGAACGCAGGGGTCTTGGCATAGAAGCATAAGCAGCGTCCAGATACTCTAGGGACCTGAAATGGGGTATATGAATCCTAAAAGTAGCTCTACAATTGGGAGGTTACCCTAGAATGGGAAGAGAGAAGTGGGTAAATGCCAAGCTTGAGTAATTTCACCCAAGAAATGACTCATAATAGCAAATGCTATATGACACTTCTTATTCTAGATTCTTCATGTATAATGATCTCTTTAATCTTTACAAGAATCATGTGAAACAGGTACAATTTGTTTTATAGATTAGGAAAGTGAGGCACAGCACGGTTGAATAATCTACTGAGAGCCACTCAGCCAGTGAAAGGACGTTCCGAGATTGGAACCCAGACAGCCGGTCTCCAGCGGCTTTTAACCACTAGATATTATTGCCTCCATGAGCCAAACTGTGCCCAAGAGCTGGGGAGTCTGTCGAACCTAGAATGGGGTGAGAGCTCAGAAAAAGTGGCACAAAGGAGAAGGGCCTCCTGGGAGGCAGCCTCTTAAGATCTGAATTCGGTAGGGAGAATGTGTAGTCCCTAAGAGACTGAGTCTCATAGTCAAAGAAAGAAACAAAACAAAACAAAACTTGTTACTAAAGGGGACTCATGTAGCAAAAAGGAACTAGTATGGAGATTTGGGCTCTATAATAAAGTAGTAGTAGCCCCCATTTCCCATGCGCGGGGTACAACAGTGTTCTGTGTAGTTATGTCGTTCACGTGATCACATGAGATAAGAGTTTTAAGCTCCATTTTCCCAGTGAGGAAACTGAGGCACAGACACATTACACTACTCAAGATCCTGTGTCTAGGAGGTGGCAAGGCCAGAACTACAAACCTGTGTCCCTCTGACTTCTGAGACAATGCTCTTAACTTCCAGTAACTTCTAGTCCCTGGATAACAAGGGTGGAACCAGTGGGGGTGGTAGTTAAACCCGCACAGATGCCAGGGCTGAGGGAATGTGGGGTGGGAACCATCCTGGGAGACAACTACACTCAAAATCCACAAAGATAGCAGTGTCCTGAAGTGAGGATTGATTCAGCTCAAGTCTGGGCCTCTTGCCCAGAGGGGCTGTTTATTTCAACTTTCCACCCGATCTGTCAGGTTCTAATTATAGTGGATAAATTCATCATTCCAAGAAAACTCCCAAACCTATTTATTTTAAAAATGAGTATTTTCTAAATGCCGTATTGTAAGACTGGTTTGAAGAACAAATTACCTTCATGTGAAGATATAAAAGTCCAATAGATGACCCAATTCATCAGGTGGGGACGTATGATTTTAAAAAACGCATGTCTGACTTTGACCATAATTGCATTATTTTCATCCATACAATTTAGGAGAGGCTTGTTCATTGCTACCACTCATTTTTACTCATCCACACCACCTTCCTAGCAGCCTCCAGGCCTCTCTCTACAGCCCATGTCAAGCACTTACAGTGATAATGTTATAAACTTTTTTTTTTTTGAGAGAGAGAGAGAACATATGTGTGCGAGAGGGGGTGGGGGGGTAAGGAGAGGGAGAGAGAGAATCTTAAGCAGGTTCCACACCCAGCCCAGGGCCAACACAGGGCTCGATCTCACTACCCTGAGGTCATGACCTGAGCTGAAATCAAGAGTGGAACGCTTAACCGACTGAGCCACTCAGGTGCCCCAATAGTGACCATATTATAATATATAACTGCTATAGTTATATATCTCAGCTTCATTTCTGTAAGTTATCAGCTGCATTTTGCTATATCAACTCCTACCATCTGCTATACAAATTACAATGTGATCAATCTACATGAATCAGACTGATAATGAAGAATCAGAGTTTTCTCATTATCAAAAAAGGTAGATGCAAGGCACAGAAATATAGATGAACAATGTCCACAGATAATTTTAAAAAATTGATCAGCAGTAATTCATACACTATCAGAAACTCCAGGAAAGCATGAACTATGTCTCTTTCACTAACACCATGCACTTAGCATGGTGCCTGGCACAGTAGGTACTTGATCCCTTTTTGTCATGAGAATGACCAATGAACGACAAACCAAGAAGTGTATGCTGGATGCCTACTATATGTTCAGAATCATCTTGCTGCTAACCCACATAAATCTCTTCCTCCACAAAAGTATATGGTTTTCCCTATTTGAGTCTGCCAAATTAAACAGAATGTAAACAGTAGAGGGAACAGCGATGGAACCTTTTGATTTTAGTGTGTCAATCATGAAAAGTGGCATATATTGTATATACACCTTAGAACTGATGCTTTCAAAGACGGGTTTTCCATGGATTACGGTATTTCCAGGAACTTCTCTCGTAAAGTATACTTCCGTTAGATAACTCAGCCGGTCCTCACTCATCTTTTTCCTATTCACTTGAGCTTTTTTTCCTCTTTCTCATGAACAACATGGTCATTGTAGTTGTGACTCTCAACATTTAATACACATTATTTAAAATTGAAAATTAGAATCACAATCATCTAGTTTTAGTTCTAAAACACGTTGCTGTTAGAAACTGCGAAGCATCCGCTATCTTCATCATACTAACAAGTTTTATTCCTTTTCTTCTATCATTTCCTTCTTGTTCTGTGGCATATAACAACTAAAGTTGTCTAGCCCAGTACTTCTGAAGCTTTAATGTGTCTACAAATGATATGGGTATCTTACTAAAATTTAGATTCTGATACAGTAGGTCTGGGGTGGGGTCCAGGATTCTGCATTTCTTTCTTTCCTCCCCCCCCCTTTTTTTTAAGGTTTATTTATTTATTTGAGAGAGCGCATGCACACGCACATGCACACAAGTGGGGGAAAGGGCAGAAGGTAAGGCGGAGAGAGAATCTCAAGCAGACTTCCCACTGAGCATGCAGCCCGACACAGGGCTTGATCTCACAACCAACTGAGCCACCCAGGTGTCCCTGGGATTATGCATTTCTAACCAGCTCCCAGGTGATGCCAACACTACTGGTCTGGACACTGTACTCTGAGCAATGAGGGTCTGGAAGACTGAGCAGTGGGTTCTTTAGTTACCTGGATCACACGGGTGTGGCTTTTATATTCTGCTCTACCAAATGAAATACTGTTGGCAATATTAAATCAAATTTGGGTTAAAATGGGGTTGGGATTAAAGAGCATTTCCCAAAGTAGAAACTTACTGATTTGTTCACTATTTTCTTTACTCTAGGATAAGATGAACACATTTTTCCATTGAGAAGAAACTTCCTCCTCCTGATGTCTGAAAAGCAGAGAACCCAAGCTTGTTTCACAGTTTAAGATGTATAAAAAAATACATATTTTTATTATTGGTATTAATTCCTATCTATAAATTAATCCAAGGCAATGAAGGACTATTGGTAAAGTTTGCTAAGCACCTGGAAACAATGAAGAAGAATATTATACTTATTTTTAGTTGGCACATTTGAAATACATTGGGTTTCTAATTAGCTTATTTTATTAAATATGTGAAACATGGTAAAAACAAAGGCATGTTTATTGAGTCTTTACTTCAAGGTAAGCATTGTAAACCTTAACCCTTCACTATAGTATAATTACGTTCATCCGTTGGAAAAAACAAAACAAAACAAAACAAATAGAGGTGCCTGGCTGGTTCAGTTGGTAGAGCATGCAACTCTTAATATCAGGGTTGTGAGTTCGAGTCCCATGTTGGGCACAGGGCCTACGTAATTAAAAAAACAACAATTTATTTACAAATTTACAAATTCATTTACTAATTTATTTATTTGAAGATAAATAATGCATGATTATTTAACATACATTAACATCATACAATTTCCCATTCATTAAAATAGAACTTTTTTAAGTTGAAGTAGAGTTGATACACCATGGTACATTAGTTTCAGGCATACAACATAGTGATTGGACACCCTATACATCATGCTATGCTCACCACAAGTGTAGCTCTCATCTGGCACCATGCAACAGTGTTATAATACTATTGGCTATATTTTCTTTCTTTTTTTTTTTTAGAGATTTTATTTATTTATTTGACAGAGAGGGAGAGGGAGAAGCAGACTCCCTGCTGAGCAGAGAGCCCGATGTGGGACTCGATCCCAGGACTCCGGGATCATGACCTGAGCTGAAGGCAGATGCTTAACCAACTGAGCCACCCAGGTGCCTGACCATTGGCTATATTTTCTATGCTCTACCTTTCACCCTGTGACTTATTTACTCCATACTAGAAGCCTGTACCTCCCATTCTCCTTCATCCATTGTACCTATCCTCCCTCTGGCAACCACTACTTTGTTCTCTGTATTTACAGGTTTATTTTTGCTGTGTTTATTTCTTTTTTAGATTCCACATGTAAGTGAAACCAGACAGAATTTGTCTTTCTCTAATTTATTTTACTTAGCATAATATCCTTTAGGTCCATCTCTATTGTCACAATGACAAGATCTCATTCTTTTTTATGACTAATATTTCATGGTATATATATATATATATATATATATACCACAACTTCTTTATCCATTCATCTGTCAATGGACACTTAGGTTGCTTCTTGGTTATTGTAAATAATGCTGCAATAAACAAAGCGTGCATAGATCTTTTCAAATTAGTGTTTTCTAAAATATAACTTTACATAATTACACTTAAAAATCATACGTACTAAATTTTTGTGTTTATCACTCTATTGTTTGGACATTTGTGTTTTTTCAGTTTTTCATTTTATATATAACTTTCATAATAGTTATTCCTGTCCCCTTAAAAAATTCTTTTTCCCAGTATCCTGGTTATATACCTTTCATTTTCCTTCTTTTCTAGGCTAAGTTCATCTTAAAACTTCTTTCAGTTCTCATTTCTCAAGTTCATTTCTCAGTTTTAATGTAATAAATCAAGTCAAGTCAACAAAGATTTGTTGACTGGGTATGTCCCTTCCCTACTTAAAAATATTTACACTGTGAAACAGTCAATAATCTCTTAAGTCAAGATCCAGACTTTTCCAGATTTAATATAAAAATTTCCAGTTAGTAAATACACACTAGACAAGATCCTACACGTAAGCCAATTCCAGCCACCACCATGTTTATGGAACTCTCTCATCACTGGCTACTTCAAAAATGGTGCTGTGGCTAAAATTGGATAGATTACATTTTAAATTAGTCAAGAAATATAACACCCCAAACCACCTGGAGTTGGGTGAAGCCTTCACTATTCTTACACATCTAAAATCTCAACCTTCTAAAAATTCTTGCCATCATCTTTTTTGCATGTTTATTAGGATGCCACACAAAAAGTATAGTGGGTGGGGAGTACAACTTTTATTCATCTGTTGAAATGATGTCCTATTTGCTCTTGAACTACCAGTGTGGCTTTCAAACTCATACACAGGGATTTCCTTCCTCATTTCCACTCTACTCCTGCCGAATAAACAAACTCCCCCTTGTTTATTCTCAACCTTGCTGCCTGGTGCTCTGCTTGAGTCTCCCACTTCCTGATCAGCTGCTAACACCACCAAGGACTGATTGCATGGCTCTGTTTCCTTGCTAGGATTTCTGTCCTTATTCTACTTTGGGGCCCTGGTTCCTTTTGCGGTTAAACTCTGTTCTTCATTGCCCCAATGTACATCTTCCCAAGTAGATTCCTGTACAGGGTTTTTCATGCCAGCATTATGTATAGGGAATAATTGAAACTATCTCAATGCCAAATATAGGGGATGATTTTTTTAAAAATTACTATATGAGGGGCACCTGGGTGGCTCAGTTTGTTAAGCATCTGCCTTTGGCTCAGGTCATGGTCTCGGGATCCTGGGATCATCAGGGAGTCTGCTTCTCCCTCACCCTCTGCCCCTCCCCCAACTTGCACTCTCTCTCTCTCTCTCTCTCTCAAATAAAATCTTAAAAAAAATAAAAAATAATTATTATATGATACAGCTGTTTTTTTAATTCAATAAGCATTTTTTAAAATAAAAACTCTTTGAAAACCAGAATTACAAGGACACTTTTTTAAAGTAATAGAAATTTATAGCCATCTTAAATCATAGCCATTTTGATACTTTTTTTTTTAAGATTTTATCTTTAAGTAACCTCTACACCCAATGTGGGGCTCAAACTCACAACCTTGAGATCAAGAGTCGCATGCTCTACCGACTGAGCCAGCCAGGCGTCCCCATTTTAATACTTGATGAAATATACTAGAAGTGGGATGCCTGGGTGGCTCAGTCAGTTAAACTGCTGCCTTCAGCTCAGGTCGTGATCCCAGGGTCCTGGGATCGAGTCCCATATCAGGCTCCTTGCTCAGCAGGGAGCCTGCTTCTCCCTCTGCCTCTGCCTGCCACTCCCCCTGCTTGTGCTCTCTCTCTGACAAATAAATGAATAAAATATTAAAAAAAAAAAAGAAATATACTAGAAGCATTCCTTCTAAGGTCAAAAATAAAAAAAAAATTTTTTTTTCCCTAGAGATGTTTGCAGCTTGCTCCCATTTAGTTTTCATTTTATATGCTTCTGGCCCAAAAAGTCCTTGAATTTTCTAAGTTCAGGCTGAAGAAGTTGCTGTAGGGTAACTTGATGTCATAGGGCTCACACCCTTCTTAATTTGGTTAAATAGTCATGGCAAAAGTTTCTGTGAGCCACACAGATGATAAGATTAGAAGTAGAAAATAAAAAGCCAAAATGACTAGAAAAACTATTAGTTGTATGAGATGGGACAACATTTTTTTGAAAGATAACTTTTTAGTCTGACTTTTAAAGAAACTTATCCCCTGGTTTCTCTTATTAACACATTATTTGTTTTCCAACTAAAATCTTTATAGAGGTAAAAATCATACCGTAAGGAGGTTTGGGTTTTTTTTTTAAGTAACAATACTATCACATTACAAGTATTTTATAGCCACCTGTTGTGGGGAGGGTCGGGGTCTATCAGGCAGACGACCTTGTTAGTGCCCACCAGGTAATTCTGGATTGAGTGGTTGCAGGTCACATTCCTGGGAGAGGCAGACACTGCAATGAGGTTAGATGTGAAGTCTTTGTTTGCTGATGTGGGGCTCAGACACAAGTGACTCCACGTTGGGCTTGTTATTGTTTGTTAATGCCACACAAGTACAGTTGAGACCTTGTGTGCCACCTGATGTGACATAACATGAAGCATACAGCTTTCTAGGAATATCCTTGTCAAAAAAGTTGAGTGTACTCAATACATAGGTAACTTCTCTTCATACTAAGTACGGATGGGGAATGGGTTAAATGACACCATGGGGAGGCATAAGACAAGTCCAGAATGTGCAACATAGTGCAGAACAGCTGACCCAGTTTCTGTGCAAGTCAATTAATTATGCAAGCTTAAATGTTGTGGGGGACTATTTGAGATAAAAAGAGACTTAGCAGATACAATGACAAAATGTAACATTCAGGCCTTATTTACATAACCGATTCAAACAATCCCTGTTAAAAAAGATAACTTTGAGACAATTGAGAATGATTTCATTTTAATTTTAAAAATTTAGTTAAAAAATTGGACTGTGGGGCGCCTGGGTGGCTCAGATGGTTAAGCGTCTGCCTTCAGCTCAGGTCATGATCCCAGGGTCCTGGGATCGAGTCCCGCATCGGGCTCCCTGCTCCTTGGGAGCCTGCTTCTCCCTCTGCCTCTCTCTCTCTCTCTCTCTCTCTTTCTCTCTCTCCGTCTCTCATGAATAAATAAATAAAATCTTTAAAAAAAAATTGGACTGTGTTTTAGAAAGTCTTGGGACAATTTTGTCAAATTTGCAGTCTGATAATAGCATTGTGGTTATGTAAGAAAATACCTATATATATGCTTTTATATATATATATACACATATATATATTTAAAGATTTTATTTATTTATTTGACAGAGACATAGCAAGAGAGGGAATACAAGCAGAGGGAGTGGGAGAGGGAGAAGCAGGCTTCCTGCCGAGCAGGGAGACTGATGTGGGGCTCGATCCCAGGACCCTGGGACCATGACCTGAGCCAAAGGCAGACGCTTAATGACTGAGCCACCCAGGCGCCCATGCCTATATATTTTTAAGATGAACGCTGAATTGGGGCAACCTGCTCGGCAGGAAGCCTGCTTTTCCCTCTCCCACTCCCCCTGCTTGTGTTCCCTCTCTTGCTATGTCTCTGTCAAATAAATAAATAAAATCTTTAAAAAAAAAAAAGATGAACTCTGATTTATATAGGAGTGAAATGACATAACATAGAGGATTTACTTTAAAACATAGCAGAAATAAAAGAAAGGGGGTTAAGGGGCACCTGGGTGGCTCAGTTGGTTAAGTGACTGCCTTCGGCTCAGGTCATGATCTTGGAGTCCCAGGATCGAGTCCCGCATCGGGCTCCCTGCTCGGCAGGGAGTCTGCTTCTCCCTCTGGCCCTCTTCCCTCTCGTGCTCTCTATCTCTCATTCTCTCTCTCTCAAATAAATAAATAAAATCTTAAAAAAAAAAAGAAAGGGGGTTAAAAGAAGCATATGGGGCACCTGGGTGGCTCAGATGGTTAAGCGTCTGCCTTC